AAAACTGAAACCTTTAGCCCCACTGTCTCGCTGCAGCACTGAAGGACTTGAAGCGGCTACACAAGGGGCGTCTTTGTGCATGGGTTCCGGCTTTACGGCTCTGCAGGTTTTGGGGTTGGGTGGGTGCACCGGCCACGAGATACCATACTACAACAGCGCCAGCAACAACAGCCACTACAACTGCTGCTGCTGCCGCCCTGATGACGAAAACAACGATCATGACGACGATGACATCTACTGTCTGTTTCTTATGTGGCGACAAAGAAGGACGAGGATTGCTTTCGCAGTGCACATAACTAATTCATCATATACTGTCACACATGGCAAAGGCAATTTTGGGTTGACCCGATAAGCAAAAACGCGCAATGGTCGCCATAAGCTGCAGGCCATATGAGCATCAGCATCACCAAGACAGAACAACGGCAACAGCAGCTATGAAATCTGAAACGAAACACAAAGAGCCAACAAACATGTCAAACTGTACGGGAACTGGTGACAGCTAATGCTGCACGGGAGACTGTTGATATGTACAGACAGACCGAAGGACGGCAAGAGTCAAGCCCATCTGCTTGTCGAAAAAATCCTATTACCGCGAGTCCTGGTGATGACCTTAAGCAGCATACGACCAAGTTACAGGAACAACAGAAAGACATGGACATTAATTACGATGGCACGCCCAATATCGTACACAGTCGAAATTATCAAGATGAGCAAGAAGATGGCGTTTGACGGTAACTAATAATGAAAATCCAGCCTAGGTAATTTCATAAGTGTAAAGATGCTTGATGAAACGGTTCACGCACTGCCCGTGGCAATAAGCATGAGGGTAGAGTCGCCTTCAAGTTCTGCTAGATTCGCTAGGTTTTTCTAGCTTTAACGGTCGAGCCGGCAGACTTGTATGCAAAATCCGCCTAACACCTGCACTAGCTAGCCCTGGTGCCCACAGTGCACCATTTCGGCCGTCCTCTCGTAGAAGGTACACTCACAGCGTAGGCCGAGCAAGTCGAAACGGAATACTCTGCAACCGTCCACCCAGCTCTTCTGCCAGCAGGGAGATCTCGCCTCGCGTCTTCATTTGGGAGTTTCCGAAAATTAGGATTACCTTTAAAGGGATCTATAAGGGCTCCTTTTCGGGATCTATAAGGGTTCTATAAAGGGCTTAGGGTTTAGAGTTTAAGGGTACCCATATTTTGGGGGTCCTTATGATAAGGATCCTACAATTTAGGGTTCTCAATTAGGGTCCCCTATTTTCGGAAACTCCCATTTGGGACAAAGGCATTGATTAGAATAGGTGCCCTTAGTGATCAGGAAAGGGTTTCCGGCATGTGGTAGCTGTGGTAGTGTATCTACACTCTACAAAGGCCTACAAGGACATACGATTACTAGCAGTTCAGGCCCCCCCAGCTACTACCAGATGGAAATGCGGAACTTCGCTGTCCCAAAATCCCAACTGTCAAAGCCTGCGAATCTTAGGTCTTTGGAGTTCAGGGTTTGATGCTTAGGAATGTTAGCTTTCAATCCGGCACTTGCACTTGCACGCTACGTGGAAAGCTGTGTGCCTGCTTGTTCGCAGATGTTCGTAAGGTTATTACCCATAGGCCCCATAGTAGTTCCTTTTTGGAAATACCTTATAGGAGTCTAAGTATGAACCCCAGAAAGGAACTGCTATGGAGCCTCTAGGTACACACCTTAGGGACGAAATGAACCTTCAAAAGTTTTAAGGTTCGTATACCAATTAGGGATCTATAGTAATAGTATAAGGGTAGAGGGCCCATACTTGTAAGGGTCATTTGAGAGTTTCCGAAAATAAGTCACCCTAATATAGAACCCTAAATTGTAGGAGCCTTATTTTAAGGATCCCAAAATAAGGTACCCCCCCAATTTTCGGAATCTCCTATTTGGTCCTTGACATCAACTTTCAAAACTGGCCCCATGGTCTCAAAGCTCCGGGGAAACGGCCGTCCAGAGCCAAAGCCTCCTTCCCAGAGAGATAGGATCCTTTAAGGGCACCTATAAGGTTCCTGTAAGGGATCTCTAGGGTTTAGGGTTTAGGGGACTCCAATATACCTTAATTAAGGTATATGTCTTAAGATAAAGTAGGACCCCTAAACTGATGCAAGGTATGTTCCATCATTAAGGGATACAGGAGTCTCTAGGTTCGCCGTGGTAGACTTGATGTAGACCGTAAACTTACTATACCCTACATAGCCTGCACATAATCATATATCCTTATGGTCTCGCCCAACCTGCACCTAGCAATATCCCCACTTGAACCCTAAAGCCAAAAGCTAGCAGCACGAAGAGAATAGCTGAGGTCCGGGGCTTTTGGGTTAGGACTCGTGGGGAAAAGGGCTCTGCTTCAAGGCGTCTCAGAACTTCGGAGACGCCAGAAACGAAAAGGATAAGTACCGGTGCGGCAGGGAGCCAAGCCTACATGAAGCAGAACTGCACAACGCGCGAATCTAGATGGGAGTGCCCCAGCAAAGAGGGAGTCCCTTATTCAAAGCCCTAAAGACTAGGATGTTTATCGACAAGGAGTCCCCAAAAAAGGGCACCGGGTTGTCTGAATGCCCAAATTGGCGCCCTGAGCTGCTTTGAGCAAGTCGCCCGAGCTGTCATGCCAAGGAGGCCAGATGTCAAACCCAACAAAAGATACCTTGCGGCTTTAGGGGTTTAGGGGTTATGTAGGGTTTAGAGTTGAAGGAATTCGGGCTTAGGGTCTTAAGGGGAAGGATTTATGCAGGGGCGTGAAGGTTTAGGGACTAGGAGTTTATGGTTATGATATATTCAACCATCCATAAAGTCTATGGCTTGTATAGAATATGGGGAGGCGTGTCGGGCTTAAGGGTTGTTTGCCGGGTTTGTGGCTTCGAGGGTTAAAGATTCCTGGCTTGGAAACATGCCTTCGCGCTTTATGGCTTGAAGCCTTTGCCAGGTTCAGAAAGTGCCCGAAGCCCTCAACCCTCCACACTGACCCTGTGTCCCAAAACCCCCTTGCGTCAGAGAGCGGTCGTAGTACCTAGCATGTAGGATCGGGTCGCTTTTGCGAGGAAATTCATAAAGTCCTGAGAAAGCTGGTGCTTACAGTTGTTAAGGCCTTCGTACTACTTTGTATCAAGCGGCCGGGGTTCCCTAAACCCTGATCAAGCCCTGAACCCTGAATTCCAAGCCTTAAGACCCCTAAACCTAAACCCTAGACCCCAAATTCAACCCTAAACCTTCTCCCTTCACCCTGAACCTTAAAGCCCTCAAACACCCTTAACCCCAAGCCCTAAAACCCCGAAGCCCTAACTTAAACCATAAACCTGATCCCTAAACCCTAGCTCTTAGACTCAGCCAGGGGACACAATGCCGAAGCGGGGTCCACAAAGGCGGTTCCGCCGATCTTCCACCGAACGATGACACCAGAGCTCCTACTGTAGAGGCCTTTATGGTGTGGGTGGGTGTTTATGTTTTTGTGGGCTCCTTTTCTCACTGCCGTTAGGGGTTTTCCCCTCTTACTTAGGGGTTTAGGGTTTACTTAGAGCTGTATAGGGTTTGCGGGTTAGTTTAGAGAATATCTGTAATCAGGAACCTAATGATAAAGGAGCCTTCATGAGTAGAATGCGGGCTGTGGGAGTTTTAGAGTATGATTAGGTTAAGGAACCATAAGGAATACTATTGGTATTGTTTTAAGCTACACTCTGCTTCGAACTCTCATTGAACGAGGTCTCTCGGAAGTGCTTGCAGCGGCATGATTTCTAAACCCTAAACCCCTTACTCTGACACTCTGCGCTCGCAGATTTTACGGACAGAATCACCGAAAGCGCGCAAGGAGGTCCCGGGCATCGCGTAGGTCGAGGAGTTTCACCTAAAGGGAACTCCAGAAAGTTGGAATATGGATTAATGGTAGGATCCCCTATAATTTACCTTAAAGGGGTTACGATAATGATATTCCAACTTTCTGGCTTCTACTGTAATTTCTCCGATGTGCTTGAGGCATTTAGGATTCAGGGGCTCGGGCTTGGGTTTGGGGGTTTAGATTTCATTCTGTCCTGTTTTGGTTGCAGGTTCCACTTTAGAGTTCTCTAGGGTTTCGGCGTTCGCACTCGGACAATCCAAGCGAGGCATGTGACGACAACGAGTCTGTTCTCCAGGGTTTAGGGCCCTAAACCCTAACCCCTAAGCCACAGATGAAAAACAACAAAAATAAACAAACCCTAAACCCTCAACCGAGTTTAGGGTGTTGGGTTCGACTCTCGGGTCCCGGATTTGGGATTCCAATCTAAGGTCCCAGTAGGGTTTCAATGCATCGGGTAGGAGGGCATTCGGGCATTTCTCCTCAAAGCAAGAGAAATTCAGAATGGATCTCCCTGGTGGGATTGAGAATTGGCGTTGAGGGCACAAGCTTTGGTTTGAATTTCTAGAATTACTTTCAAGGGCCTGACTTAGCTGTACCGGGTTGTTTAAAATCACCGTTGTTCCGGTAATGGCGCTAGTAATAGTTGTAGTGGCAAGCTGGTAGTGGCAGTGGCAAGATGGTAGTGGTAGCAGAAATTTGTAGCAGTAGCAGAGGAGCAGGAGCAGGAGCAGGAGCAGGAGGAAGAGTAGTAGTAGGAGGAGGAGTAGGAGTAGTAGCAGTGGTAGAAGTAGCAGTAGGAGTTGGAGTAGTGGTGGTGGTAGTCGTAGTAGTAGTAGTAGTAGTAGTAGTAGTAGTAGTAGTAGTAGTAGTAGTAGTAGTAATAGTAGTAGTAGTAGTAATAGTAGTAGTAGTAGTAGTAGTAGTAGTAGTAGTAGCAATAGCAATAGCAATAGCAATAGCAATAGCAATAGCGGTGGTAGTAGTAGTAGTAGAAGTAGTCGCAGTGGTAGCAGTACTGGTAGTAGCACTGGCAGTGGTAGGTGGCAGCAGTAGCAGTAGCATTAGTAGCAGTTGCCGCAGTAGTAGTAGCAGCGGCAGAAGCAGTTCCTGCTCTTCCTTCTTGCAGAAGGTCCCGAACCGCCTGGGTAACCTTAAAGATTCAAGTCACCCAGAGGGAGATGTAAGGCCAAATGAGGGCAACGAGTTGTAGCGGCGACGTGGGCACCAGCCGCCCTCCGATCAGAAACGCCTGCACGAACCTCGCAGAGACAGCTCACAGTAGGGTTTGGGGGTTAGGGTTTAGGGGTTTGGGGTTAGCGTAGGGTGTATCATGTGGTGATATACCGAGTCATATCATGAAACTAACGAAACATGTCTTAGGCATATCATGCTTCATTGTACTGTGAAATACTGTGTGGCATTCTACAACATATTTTCTATCTATCTACATGTCAAGTCAGGTAGCATGTTGGCATGGGGGGGCTGGTAGCATGTTGGCATGGCGTGCTTTCCCCAGCTTATTCGCAGGGTCTGCTGGAAACCATCTAAGCCCAAGCTAGTCCTGTGATGCTATACTGCTATACACCGGAGGCACTGGGCTCAACGCTAGACCCGATATCCGAGCCCCACTCTACCGCAACTGCAGCTCCAAATCATCCGCCCAGTAGCTTGGCGTCATGTGGGACAAATTCCTTAGCTGCATCCGTAAGACTTCTTTGCATCAGGATTTGCGCAATCGCGTGAGGGTCTATGCAACCCTGAACCCTTAATCCTGAACCCCTAAGCTCGGTCTCACCCGAGCCGTGTTTTTGAGGGTTCTAGGGCCTCTAGGGTACTAGAGTGAGGGCAGAGGTGCTTAATACCACGGTGGGCAAACTGGAAATCATGTTAAGCCGCTTTAATTCCTAATTTAGGCGGCTGGGCAAAAGGCCCCAAGGGAATGTTTGCAGCACACGCAGGGCAGGGTGCCGTCCCCAGAGTTCTCAGATCAGCCTTGCCTGCCCACAAACCCCCAAAGTGCGCAATTTTATCTTAGCATGTGTCGAGCCGAACTACATGCCACCCGTGAGGACTTTCGGGCAGAGATTTCGCTAAGGGCTTTCGGGGATGATCAATGATAAACATTATGGAAACTTTCGGTGTCAGGAGATGGTAAAAGGTTCAGAGCTCAGAGGAGTGCAAGTAACTTCTCCTAGATCGAAACGTAGACTGGTCAGGACAGGTCCTTGCTGTCTACATTGCATCGGGCAGACCCCCGCAAGCATTTCATTTAGTGATTTTAGAGCTCTGTTTGGAGCTCGTGCTTCTGCAACCACTGCTCTTAGCCGAAACTGTCGAACGCCCGAAGTCCCAAACCACATGACTCTAAAGCCCAAAGCGGGGAACGTTAAGCCCTATACCCTAACCCTCGCATCCAACACGAAACATTTGCAAGCCGGACACGAAATCGATACCCATCTGGTATTTGTACGCAACTTCCTGGACGAAAAAGATCTCTCTGTGGCTGATAACAGGCTTCGAGTTTAGGAGGCTTGGGGTTTTGGAGGGCCTATGGAGTTGGGGATGGTACCCCAGCAGAACCTGTCTCATGCAATCTCAGGCTTTGGCTGCCGCTGCTGCAAGAATGGAAAGCATCCGTTTGGTCTCAAATGTCTTAGGGCTTGGGGTTTTTAGGCTTTAGGGCTCGAGGGCTTAGGGCAAAAAGCACCAGAGCGTCTGCCACCATGCAAGCTGGCAAGACCGCTCCGAACATGGCATCGACGAACGCATCGAAGAGCACCAGAAAGAACGTGTTGCGCTGCACGCCTTGCTCTGGTTAAGACATGTTTAAGCCCCACACTTGGCTACAAAAAAAAGCCGACAGATATGCTTAAATTGGAACCCATAGACGGTGGCGAATTGCTTCATGGTGTCAGATAGTCCACGCTGCTGCTGTATACGGCAGCATGCAAGGGAACAGCTGAAGGGATGTGTATCAGCTCTTCACACTGTACAAGCATGGCCGTGTCTGAACGATTGAGGAGACCTGACTATGGCCAGGCAAACAGCAAGGGTCAAAGTTCACCGGGCACGTCCCGTCACTTGAGAATTCGGGAAACGGGTGCAACACCTGGCACTTTGGTTAAACCATACCAATCCCCGTATACAGCCTACAGCAGCCTTTTACAGCACCGCAAAACCAAAGGTCAAACCCCAACAACTTACCTCAACACACATATCCGACCGACAGAACAAGTCTTTCCCAAATCCGAGCCAAGAAGCTTGAAGACAGGTGCAGTAGTGGGGTCACCACGGAGTTCAAGCAGATCCTGTGAGACAGAATTAGCGTTTCAGGTCTTGGGAGTCAGGCGTGAGGATAAAGAAGGGACATTCAAGCTCTACGGGAGTTGTATAGGGGTCTTCATCAAACATAAAGAATAACACCTAGTAGCGATACTACTGATAATACTGATAATAGTGAAAACAGTTGCTAACCATCATAATCGTGAAAACAATAATAGTATCAATAGTATTACCAAAAATAGCTGTAATGCTAAAATTCATTAACTATAATAACAGTATAGTAAAAACAGTACAAATACGTATACTTCTAATCATAATACTAAGGTTTCAAGGCCCTGTCGCGATCAGCGGACCTCCAAGCCCGACAACATCCGCCAAGCCACCTCGCAAAAACCTCCCCAGCCGCCAGCAAAAGATCCCCAAACCTTACTCTACGGTGTTTGGGGTTGAGTATATTAGGGTTTGGGCCACAATAGGCCTTTAGCTCTTACCTTGAGGTGTTTGTGTGTTATAGCAGGTAGCTCGCACTACAGGCTTACAAGTAACTCTACGGGGGATGTGTGCGAAATAGCGATAGAACAACGCCGTCCTTGCATGTTTTGGCTCTATGCATAGACTTGCGATTTCCCATGAACTGGAATGAAAGCGTCAGAGTCTCGGACAACCAAGAACCACTGACCCTTCAAGTCGTGGCTCTTATGTCCTGCAATCCACATGTCAAGTTATGCAAACTCACAGGAACGGATAAACAACAGTCTGCATATACGTATTTGCATGTGCATGCATAGGCATACACACATTTACCAGTGCAGGAAGTTGTACAAATCAATAGGTAGAAAGGTGATGCTAGACAAGGTTAGATTGGCCAACTCAGCCATAAGCAGATGAAAGTCAACATCGAAATCTGTCACCGGGGACACAAGCTTACGGTACATAATCCTCCACTGTCCCTGAACTCTCACACCCTGAGCCTGGAATGCAGCCCGAAAAGCCGGAATCTCGCATCGTCTACATGGTAGAAGATGGGCCCTGAAACCCTAAAATCCTAAACGACAGCCAGAAATCCTAAAGAACCCATTGAATCCATGTATGTATACATACATACATACACACATATGTACGCATGTATGTATATAAATATGTACACATACTTGATGGACAGAGTGGGAGACAGAGAGAGAACACCTAAGAACCCTTAATACACTCTTACAGAACCCTGAAAGAATCCTCACCGGAACCAGAACGGAACCCTTGAAGGCCATCCTTACATCCACAGCTTTAAAGCGAAGCCACAGGATGGCGTAGGAACAGATCCAGAGGTTGGCTTGGCCAAGGTGAAGCCTCAGTTTTTGTGGCTTAACGTAGGGGCCTTTATAGTTAGAATATGATTTTTGGGGGTTCCTTATTGTACTTATAGTAATTATTAAGGCCGCTACAGTAGTTTAGAGGTCTGTAATGGCCTGGATGGTCAGTATTGCTGTTGTTTTGGGAGATACAGTTCCTTAGGCAGTTTCTGAGGCTTCCCTCATGGAAACCAAACGACGAATTCTTTGGTGCTTGCGGCTGATGTAGGACGACGACAGAGAATGCCACCATCACTTCGATTGGAAAGCGATATCGGCTCCAACTGACACCTTTAGTTCCGGTCTGATTAGGTACTTGAAGTGCGGACGTTGGTCTTTTGTGCTATCTCTCTCTCGCTCTCTCTCTTCTCTGCCCGGCATGTATGTACATGCTTGTATGTATGTACATATACTCATAACGTGTACCTATATTAATTACTGTGCACATTTGTTAAGATCTTCTGTACAAAAAGGTGCATATGTACACTGGTTCCACATAGATTACGCGAAATGTGCTTCCAGTCTTTTGCTGGACCGAAGCGACGACCTCCAAGCCGTGACTGAAACCCCACATCGCAAGAGTCGAACACTGATGCCTTAGCTGTAGAAGCCAACCCTAAACCTTAAAAGCCTCAAGCACCCTTAGAACCACAATGAAGAGCTTCAGTTTTGAATAGTTCCGTCGGGTTCTTCAGAGCACTAAGGACACACAAAATTAACCCACAAGAAACAGTCTGCGCAGTCCCACAATCTGGTTCAGGAGCTGCAGGACCTCTTGGGGCTTTGATTCAGGGCTTCAGAGTTTAGGGTTTAGGGTTTAGGGGTTTAGGGTTTAGGGTTTATGGGTTTTTAGGCTCTAGCACGCCTGAGATACGGAATGAATTTCGAACTTATGGCATGGCTTAGAGGTCACACTTATACTATGCTATACTGCGACTATAATAGAACTCTATGGTACTACATTTCTACTACGTTTTACCCGATGGCCGACCAACCCGATGGGGAAGTTGTTCCTTGTCAGGCGTACGGTGTCGTGAGGATCGAGAACCCTTGCTTAACTAAGGATATATATATATATATATATATATATATATATATATATATTATAAAAATGAAGAAATACCGATCCATCCAAGCATCCTTCCACCCATACCCACATACTATGGGCTTTCGGATGTGAAAGACACTTTGTAGTGGAAAGGGGTGGGAGAGTCTCGAGGTGCTCATGACTGGCGCTACTGGTCCCATAGCGTTCTATGCGCGAATCACGTGTGAACTTGCTTCACTGTTCCCATTCGGGTTTAAAGCGTCTTGTGCCTCAATCCTTTTTTTTATATGGTGTATAGTTTATGTGTATCGATTTAAGGGTTTAGGCTGTAGAGTCTAGGATATTTCCCCCCAAATCTCTTCATGGAGAAAACAATTACACGCACCCAAATCTGAACAGCGCCTAAGCCCTACACCTGAAAACCCCACCCAAAAAACATTACGGCGCTGCACTCCTACGCCCCAAACTCCTCAGCCCCAAACCCTCGCCTCCGATGCCAAAGCCAAAAATCTACACCCTGGGGTTACGTTTAGGCTTTTGAAGCCAGAAACTAAAACCCCCTTGCCATCCAACAAAGAAAGCGAAACCTCCCAAAAGTGCATGTTTTCATCAAAGGTCCGAAGCCACCCCTAAAGCGCCTCCAGGAAGGCAGACTTGGCATGAAAGTGTTTCCTCGCAAGCAGGGCAAGGTCGGACTTTGCGGTTGTCGGGCTTTTGCCGGTTGTTCGGAGTGTCTACCCAGAGGCTCCATAGTAGTTCCCTTTTGTGGTTCATAAATAGAATCCTATCAGGTAATCCCAAGAAGGAACTACTATGGAGCCTATGGGTAGTGTCTGCATTGGGTTTCCTAGCTTTCGTCTTGGAAACTCGCCTGTAGGCTCATGGACAACCAAGCCCTAACTCACCAATATGACGCACCCGTCCTTTTAGAAGTAATAGACAGAGCCCTATACCTATATCCCTTATTATCTGTTTATTCTTTTGGGGGAGCCATGAAAAAGGACAAGGCCGATATGACGTAGACTGAGTGGCAAATCGATTTCAGTGCATCTTCCTTGCAAGCCAGAGAACATGGAACGAAGGGTTGATTTCGGAAATCCGTAGTAAGCCCATGACCCCTAAGAACTAGGACCAATTCCGAAATGCAGGCTTAGAGATTTAGGGTGTCAGCGCTGGGCTTAGGGTAGTACATAGAAAAAATCCACAAGGCTCAATCACAAAACTACACGTTCAAGAGCCCTATAGGCTCTTAACCAGGAACCAAGGCACCAGCAAACGCCTATGAGCGCCCCGAGCAACTACAGTCCAACATCATAAGCTTACAAACCATAAACCAAACGATGAAGCCTGAAACCCTGCCGTCCAACCAACCTTAAAGGCCCACGCAAGAAATAACGTCTGAGAACCCGACTTCGAAGACCCTGTCGACGACGTTGTCCAAACGCAATACAACATACAACAAACTGTATGAAAAGGGCATGTGTGCAATAGAGTACGACAGTGCAAGATAGCACTATAGTTCAAGCAACAAGCGTCGGAAGCTGCCCAAGACCCAAGACCTCAAAGCCTGGAACCCAGAACCCCTCAGACTCTAAAGCCCTATAAGCAACTAAGGCCCTATTAATCAACAAGCCTGAAGCCCTAAATCTGCAGCCAAAAAGACCCCAAGATCCCAAAACCTGAAACCCTAAGCTCTTAAACTCCTAGAACCCTAAATCCCAACACCCATAAGAGCCTACCGTCGGAGCCGGGGAGCCCGGATGCTTTCAACTCCTCTGTCCAGCTTCTCGTCGTGCTGCGGCCCAGACCTGAAGCCGGATTGGGAGCAACAAAAGGAGAGACCTTCACTTGGGTAGCTGTCTGAATTAAGGTCCCTCTTTGGATACCCTAAATAATAGGTGCCGTATCATAAGAGGGACCCAAAAAGGACCATAATCTTGACAACCACCCACTTGATACCTTTTTAAGAAGGTGCCTGCAGTGGTAAACAATGTCACGCAGACACCGGTGACCCCTTGGATTTTGCTCGCAACATGTTGCATTTATCCCATGAATACCAACATTCGTTGTGGCAGATGCGTTTTATGAATGTGTCTTTTTCTTGCTTCGAACCCTCGAGCACACAGAAGTAGTAACAAAAGTGACACGCTTGCCAGTGTTTTCAAGGGATCGGAGGTGTATGGTTTGGACGATGTTTGTGCAACTCGTGCATCTTTTAAAAAATTGACTTTTCGGTTTATGCAGGAGAAGTCATACTGCTCGTCGCCGGCGTAGTAATAGTAGTAGTAGTAGTAGTCGTCGTCGTCGTAGTAGTGAAAGTGGAGAAACAGCTAATGTAACCAACCCTGAATCACAGTGAAACATGGGCTCTATATCAACCAGTCGATACAAACTGATACAGCCAATGGGCCAGAACGGTTCTGGCCCATTGGCTGTATCAGTAACCACACGCAAAAAGCAACCACAAACACAACTTAAGACCTAAACCTTGCACCCCAAGCCCCTAAGCTCTAAACCCTAAAAGCATACAGGGATTAAAGGCGAACAGTGTGTCCTGTCTTGAGGGTTCGGGTAGCAGGTAGCAGAGTGGAGCCAAAACGTGCAGGGGATCCGTTTCGTAAGCCGAAACCTCGAACACTTTGATTGAAGAGAGAAACGTTCAAAGCCGATGGCTTCAAATACAAACACCCGGGCCCTGATAATGAACACATCGCTCGCGGGTATGATATAACACAAGGAAGCTGAAAATAGTACTACCTGGACCCTCGAAGCATGAAGACAAACAGCCTTTTACAGGTGTTGGGCCATTACTATACCTACTTTTGGGGGGTCTAAGTACTGACTAACCCCAGGGGTCCAAGTACCTGATAATCATATACTCTCCAAAAATCCTAACCAACACAACTACTATCCTAAAGCCGAGTACCTAATTATCGGGCCAATGGACCCTCGGGGTAATAATGATTTAGGATTCTAATTTAGGGCGGCCCTGCATCTCGGATCTCGGAAAGGCTGTCAGGATGCAGCTTTTGGCAGACCACTAAAGGTCAGAAATCTAAGGTCTCATTCTCGGGGTCTTGACAACAAGGCTGCTTCCGATTGAATTTGGGTCTATCATCTAGGTCTGTTTAGGTACAGAGTTCAATTTATGTCTATGGCGCAGTTAAAACAATTGATCGATTCAAGTCCCAGCCGCTAGAGTTACCCACCCGCGATCGGCGACTTTGATTCGCCGTGCCGGTCGCTCTGAGGCCGGTCAGGAACAGCCCCCTCAGTGATGGGACAGAATGTCTAGGAACCTCGACAACATGATTGCAACAGTGTCGCTTGTATGTGTTATGTGAGAATGACATATTGACAGCATAAACACTAAACAGAAGTGGCTCAAATAGCAGACTGCGCGCACCCATCTGTGATTGTGCATGCAGGTATGTGTGCATGCACGAATACCTTAAACCCTACACCGCTGACCCGTTGGAATGTGATGCGACGTCATGGAACGTGATGCAATGCATGCGGAAAGTATATGTAATTAGATGGTATATTACAACGCAACGCACTGTACTGCAGCAGTATGCAGTTTACTGCAATGTGTATTGTAAACAAAGTGATGTGGAATTACGTAGTTTATATCGCAACACGCTGAAACGCGGCACAGTGTATGCATTGGCTGCAGAATGCATGTAGGCATGAATATACATGCAGAAACCTGGCAAGCGGCTTGCAGATTTGCATGTGCGTGCATATGTGTACATGTTGAGACTGCTGTCTATGTGTGTAGTATATGCGCATTTAGATATATAGCACACAGACATACATACATACACACACGAGTGTTTGTGTGTAAATATGTCTAGTTATACATGTATGCAAGCAGGTAGTCATGCACATGTATGTGTAAAGTGTGTGCACGGCGCATCCATATGTGCATGCATTTGTATGTGTAGCTATGTTTGTGCTTGTGCCTGTCCGGTCTGCATATGCTTGTAATATATACATACATGCATACAGATGTATTGAAACAGAAAAGCGAAAACGGATATAAGCGTGTGTGTGTATATATATATATGTATTTGTATAATATATGTTTATGTATATATATATATATGAGCCCGATACCTTTGGGGTCTATTTAACTAGTTTGCCATATATACAATATAAGATCCCTAGCTAAATCATATATTCCTACATATTATACTACAAGACTTACACTCTGAAAAGTTTAGCATTACTTAGGTCTATAATATTTTTCGCATTATTGCCGACACTACTGCCACTATGAATCCTGCTTAATATACATTGTCACCTATACAGGCAGGCGAATTTTAATAATTGGTACCTGTAGCAATATCATTCCGAATCCTATGAAACAGAAAGCAACAACACTCCAACCAAAATAATCATAGTAAGTATTGCTTACACCTCTGTCGGGAGCGAGTACTTAGTTTCTTGAGCCAAAGTTGCGTTCCCTGCCGATTTCTCGGAACAGAATCTCGTCGAGTTGTCTGTGCAGTCGGAGGTGGCTCAATCATCAGGTTTACTAGACCACTAGCATGTTGAATGTCACGGCAGCTAGTGAGTAGATACTTCGTTTCAGGCACCAAAGTTGCATTCCGTGCCGATTTCTCGGGAGAGAAGCTCGTCGAGTTGTCTGTGCAGTAGGGATAACTCAATCCTCAGGTTCGCCAGAGGACTAGCACGTTGGGTAGCACTGCAGCTTTGTGAGTAGCTACTCAATTTCTTGCGCCAGAGTTAAGTTCTGTGCGGAGTAATAATAATATAGCACTACAACACTGCGGTCAACAAAGTGATCCCGTGTGTGTAGGCAAGAATACTGAGAAACGGCACAAGACGTGGTCCTGCACCCGGGGCATGTGTGAACTATATAACACCCGAGCTGCCCGACCTCGTCTGCTTGCTGTCATCGTGCAGCCTGGAGATCGTCTCTACCATCCTCCGGTAGTAATAGTAGTAACGACGAAGCTAGCCGAGCGACGACGTGCGGAGCAACACAACAACAGCTAGCATGGACAGCTTCTCTCTTTTTCATGGATGAAGCAAATATCCCAGTTAGCCTGTAGATCGTTTGTAGCTTTCGGCTAACCGATCCCCTGTGTGGGAAGGGTGGGTACTTCAAGTTTACAGCCTTTTGATGAACTTATCCAAAGTGGCCGCGCGGATGTAAAGCTTCGTAGCTGTATAAGTCAAGTTATCTGGTTCTTCAGACGTGTCCTGCAGACATGTTGTCCTGTCGAGCGACGATAGCAGGCGAACTTCGTTCTAGCCCAGATACTTGCAATATCTCCAAGTAGCAAGAGGGATGGATGGCCTAGCGCACACAGTCGTAGCTCGTACATCGTCACAAGTGTTAAATCTAGTCTCCAGTCTCTAATAATCAGAACAACTTCACACAGATCAGTCCCAGGTGCCGGGCCTCCTCAGATGAATGCAGCCCATCACCTGGCACAGACATGTATAACAATGTTGGAACACGCATAGCGTTGGGTAGCAGAATCACGGCAATCTCGTTGGATGCAGCTTCTTTTTGTTCCCAATGCGCGTCGGGAAGATGCACAAAAAAAGCTTTAGTCAGAGCCAGACTGTTTCACACCTGCTGTACGTAATGTGTGCATGCGTCTGACTGACAAAGGAGTCACACGCCCTCGCCTCTTCTGAGGCTTGGAAGATTTCGCAGCGGGCTTCTTCATAGTCTTCATAGCCCAGTTCCGCACCAATTTGACTTCGGATTGCCTGGACTTGGCAAGTTGAAGTCGAGCTTTGCTCTGCACTCCATCCGTGTGCTGCTCGCTGCACCACGCATCCCATTCGGGTACGCTCCACAGCGACTCATGCAGCGATCTACCTATCAGCATGTTGGCACTAACCACATGCGACATAGGATGCTCTGTCGCGAGGTAGTGAGTGAGCATCTTGATATACTTGAAATAACGAAGCTTCAAAGCGAGTGTGGACCGGTGCATCACGTTAATGCTCCGCGTCCATGAGTTAACTTCTGCGTGCAAGGCCTCATTACTGGCAGTGCCGCTCGGAAGGAACCATAAGTATGATGCATGCATAGAGTGCCGCACTCTCACATTGTTCATCAGCCATTCCACCCGATCTGGTGCGCACGCAGACCACAAAATGCGATATATTTCTTTGTTAGGCCCAGGAGCCTTCCGGACGACCTCGCCTTTGTATCGTCGGCATAGGGCAGCAATCGATTTTATGAAATCAAGTCTGTGGAGGAAAGGTTGATCCTCTTGTACATGATCCAGGATGCTGCTGGCGTCACGCTCTGACATGGAGAAATCCAATATCATATCACGATACTTCACCTCCTCCTCGTTCAATGGCCTGGCCATTGCACCGTCGTAGAATGCAAGCCAGTGTCTTGCATCGACCCTTTCGTCGACGGCCGTGCACTTTCGCAGGATGTGTCGCAGCTTCTTGGAGCCAGGACTCTTCTTATTCCAGAACCCGTACTCATATACAATGGCAAGATGAATGGGGTCCAGCATGAGCGCTCGCAAATTCGGGCATACAGACCGTAATTCTGTATACAGCTTTTCCGATGGACTGTCTGTTCCTACATAGTGCACTGAGACGAGTTGAGCTTCCGAAAAGTTATCCGAGATGGCGCCGACGATGTAGTCCGATGATTCCTTTGGAAGAGGTTCCATGAGAAGGACAGCTCCGGTGCGACCCCGCACGGTCAAGAGCCGCCGCCATGCCACGTCGTCCCCGAACGGAGCGTCGTTCCGAACTTGCTTGGAAGCTCTGTAAGGAGCCTGTCCCATGATTTTCATGCACAACTTGAGAGTGGCATCCATGCTGATGTAATGCCACTCATCGTGCTTGGAGAAAGCCGTAAGCATCTGCTCCATCTTGTTCTTGAAAGCTTCGGACGTGGTGATATCCTCCAACATAGGCGTCCAGTGGGGAACCCTGCTGGGGAGAAGTGTAGAAAGTTTACATCCGGACTTCAGAGCCTCGATGTGACACCGTGTAGCCAGCGTCCGCACCTGATGGAGCGACGGACGATGAGACTACATGTACACTTGTTATGATGATAGGCAGAAAAGACTAAGCCGCTGTTAAGAAATATTAGTCACTGCCTCAACATTATGTTTGTTATCCGCTCAGTTGCCTGCGCGTGACCAAGTACCATCTCTCGTAGCAGCAAATCCGCAAAGGAGTGCGTGTAGTACATGTTCTTCACTCTTCTGGCTTTTATTGTTGTACCGATACTTTCCAGATTCACATACCGAGGACCAGTGGCATCCAAGATCAATCGTATTTTTTTGTCGATGGAGTTGCGGTTAGACTCCAGTGATGGCTGGATGGTGGCTCGCAACAACGATGCACTGGATTGTAGAAGCTCTTCCACTCTGCTTTGTGATGAAGCACCATGGTCGTACAGTGACAGGATGACTTTGATCTGCTTCGTACCAGAACAGACGTACTGATTCTTCTCGGTGTGGTGGTTGGTCATGTGTGTCCGTAGTTGTCGCAGTTGAGCAAATGAACGAAACGGACAAAATGGACAATGTCTCCGACCGCCCTGTCGAAGCGAATTTTCCTTCAACTTGTCCAGAACGTCCTCCACTTCTTGACAGGGTGACTGAAGAATCCCGTCAGATATGACAGGAGTGTTTTCGTCTTCATCATCGTGTGTTATTTTTCCAAAGCCCTTGTCGATGTCCATGTCTGTCTCCTCGTCGGATGTGCCAGAGGTAGCACCTGCGACCAAGTCCAACAACAATGTAGACTTGTCATCGAGCTTATCTTTCGCGTCGCGTTTCCAATGTGAAACGACAGTTGATCGATCCACAGCTGCAGCACAAGCTTCCTGGAAGGCACCTACGGGAATCTTGTATACGACGTTGCCATCGATCAAGGTAGCTGTGTCGCCTTCCAGCCGGACCGACAGGCAATGTGGCGATCCGTTCCCTTCGTAATGCAACAGGAAGGTTTTCACATGGGGCTGGGGCAGACCAAGACAGCTTACGATGTCGAGACCACACATGGTGGCAACCGAACGATAGGTTCTGTACCTGGTTTTCTTGGCCTCTGCATTTTCTGCCTTGTCATCGTCAAGTACTGCAGCGGCCACAGTCGTTCTGGACAAGGGATCCGAATGCCACAAACTGCATGGAATGCAATTGCCAGCTTCCAGAAGCTTTGCGGGCACGTTCGTCAGGTTGTTCGCAACGTTTCCACGAGTTTGAATTAGATCTATTAACGATCCATGTGTCTTAACCATGATCTTCACGTCGAAGGAAGTCCTGTCTTTGACGACGGCTTGGCATTTCCGAATGTAGTCCTCCGAGTTCTGAACCTTGTCAGCCGACACCCGGATGCCGTCGAAGTGCAGCGACAAGTGCTTGGGATTGTCCATCAGAACGTGCTCGGACCAAGCCTGGAGGATACTGTCTTCGACTGCATGCCACATGAGAGACATGATGGTGGCAGAAGGGAAAGACTTCAGCTTGTTGTCGGCCAAGCTCATGTAGTCGTCGTGAAGAATATTGCACGCCACCCATCGAACATACAATGCAATCTTTTGTAGCTTCTTGATGAGCTGATTGTCTTTCAGCTTTCCTGGTGGAGCACCACCGTTGAAAACGGTAGTGATAATGTCTTTGCCTTCGGAAATCTGCACATTCAGCTTGGCCACAAAGTCTGCACGTCTGTGGGTGACTTCGTCAAGTACTTCTGCAAGGTCATCAGCCAAGGGAGGATCAGGACTAAGTTTCTGCAGAAGTTGATGGATCAGCGTCAAGCAGCAGTTGTGGATGTCCAGATCAACGGTGTGACCGTCTACAAGATACTTCTGCAAGCGACGGGATGTGCTCTGAGCACTGCCCTTCGGGCCGTACCGACGACCATGGATGCTGTAGTTCTGCTTGTCAGAATACTTGTACTCAACCGATGTAGCCGACATGGATGATGACGAAACGGCAGCGTTCCCATCTTCATTCACTGACGTCTTCGCCAAGATGCGTCTCTTTTGCGACGATAGCAGAGAAGTCACGTGTTCGGAATGGTCCTCGAGCTTCTGGATGAGTTTCTGGTACTTCGTCGTAAGTTCATCCTGTTCCAGACTTCTTCGTCCTCGTTTTGAAGCAGGCAACATCGCTGTGTAGTACATCTTCATGTTGTCATCGTTGATGGATCTGCCTCCACATCTGTAAGCGTAGCTTCGAAGCCGGCCTAGATCATGTTCTTCCTGGAACTGCATTCTAACCTGGCCCGCTTCAGTTTGAGGACATACTTCGTGAAACTTCTTTTTGAAGATGAACGAAGGAATGATAGCACCAGGTCTTTCTTTGCCCGTCTTCGGCTTCGCGATGCCAGTGCGAACCACCTCTTGCTTGGGCATTTCGTCCCACATGGCCTGCTTCGACAGGTTCGGATGTTCTCCTGCTTTGCAAGGCATTTTTTTGAACTCATAGAACGTCATGACTTCGAGGTCTTTGTCGAGCATGTGCTGTATCACCGAGCTTCTGAGATTTTTCCAGCTGATGTCCCGATCTTCCCTTTCTGCATTACTATCAGCATCGCCATCGAGCAAGTTGCCGAGACCTTCTTCCACTTGCTGATGTCTTTGTCGCACAGGCAAGCCACATGCATTTCGCATGACATCCTCAGTCAAGAAACCGTCTCCACCATTGCAGTAGTTTTCTATCAGCTGATAGCAGTCGTCCTTGCTGTAATCCCGTTCAAACGCCCACTGCAACCGCAATCCTGCAATGGAGGCCTGAGATGTGGACAAAAACTTGTTCAGACTGGGGTCTGCTTCGAAGATTCCGTCCTTCTCATGATCGATGTACTTCGCTAAGAACTTCTTGTGGATGAACCGAGCTTTGGATTTCCACACAAAAGCTCTCCTGAACATCGAATTGAAACCGCTGCTCTTAACGCCGGCAAACTGCATCATGCGATTCACTTCAAGTCTAGTCCATCCGACCGTGTGGAACATGCGAGTGGTGTAGCCGTACGGCTTTCTTCCCATGATTCCGTCAGCTGATATAGTTTTCTTGTAGAGATCGATATGCAGTTTCTTGCTGGTCTCCGGTGCTTCCTGGCCTGTCATAATGAAACATCGTGCAAACGTTTCCACCTGCTTGCGAAGCTCTTCGTCGAGGTGCCATATGTTGGGGTCGAAAAAGGTATGGTTTTGCTTATACATCTCGGATAGATGCAACGAATATAAACTTTGCCCCACTCCTCCAGGTGATATGCCAATGAAGCATCTGTCCACATTGTATCCGCGCTTGGCGATAGCCGTGGCTGCTTGGAAGCACTTGAAGACATCTAGATTGCACCAGAATGTCTGCTGGTAGAACTTCTCGAGACGCTCCAACTTGTTCTCCATAACTGGATCCAGCAAAGGATGAGGGATGCGAACATAGCAGTTGTTGGCTGGACTCTTTTTGACCACATCGATCGGACTATCTGATCCTGGCGAATCGTACACGAAGCATACGTCGTCGTAGGTGACAGAAGATGATCTTTGGTCTTCTGTTTCGCACCATTCGACCAACAGAGAAATCATCCGAGTCTGCATCAGCTCAGTCCTGATGTGCCATGATAGTTTCCATGACTTTTCTGCCGCGTCTATGGTCCAAGTATTGTCGGACGCTGCTTCGGCTTGCGCTTGGTTCGCCACCTCATCATCAGCTGCATCTAGCCTAGAGGGGTAAGCTGCAGTCGTGCTACGCCTGTTCACTGCGTCTCTACATGCTTGTAGGAAATCATCTTCGGTCTCGAAGCTTTGTAAATCGGAAACAATGGCACGGGCGACAGAGGCAGCTCTGCGGCTGTTCTCTGGCTTCATGCGCCGGAGGATGCCTTCCAGGTAGACAAAGAAGTCGTGGACCCGATGGAGCACGGCCTCTGGCGGGATGCCGCCGAATGGCTGAAAACAACCATCGCCATCGTATATGTAAAGGAATCCCTTGTGTACCCTCAAGTGCCGATCACCCTCGACCATCCAAAGCAACGCAGCCGAATCTGCAAGCATGGGCTTGTCGGAGATCTTACCTTCGGTCAAGTGGGCTGCGACTAGCACAAGTCGCCTGATCTGGTCCGAGACGTTTGGGAAATCCATTCTCAGTTCCTGCAGCGACTTCTTCGTGCTGTGCAGAATAGTGTTTGGTTGAACACTCCTGTCGGCTACTAAAACATCCAGTGTGGTTCTCAGAATGTCATGAGACCGCTGAAACGTTGATCTGAATCTGTCGGAGTGTTCTGCTGCACCTGGTAGAAGACGACGCTTCTTTGCCGCCATGCGGGCAGCATCCGCTTCATCTTCGAACATGTCCTCGAACATCGCTTCCAGATCTTCTTCGACACGATAACCGTTTGACGCTTGAGTGTTCGGCAATATCTGAAATGGTTGCGTGAGACTTGGCTGACCGGTCTCCGTCTCTGGGACAACAAGCCCTTCTCTTTGTGGTTGCGGCGCAGGCTCCTGAGGTTCAGGTTGTACACAGACAGCTAATTTTTCGTTTCTTCTACATTGCATCAGAGCTGAAACTTCATCTGCAAGGTCAGGCACATCATCCACGAAACCGTCTGGTAGATACCGTGGATGTATGCATACGACTTTCATGCCAGCCACCTTCACGTGGTAGTACTTTTCCAATATCCACTTGTAGATATTAAGTTGGAGTCTGTAATGGTGACCTTGCGAGTCGTTGATTCCTTGTAGGGGGGCATGCATGGTCTTGCCGTAACTGTTATACTTCTCCTCCAGCTTTTCGCTGCGCTTCCAGTCCAGGAGGTAAAGCACGTCGTTGTTGACGTCTTTAAGAACCATGTCGATCGAACCTGCAACATCCTCTTCCGGTGCATATATACACCACTCCGTCCTGTAGACTACCGCATTCTCCATTTGACTCACAATTCTCACCGCAGCGTT